GACAGAAATCGAATGTTGCCTTATTGAGAGATAAATCACAAAGATTTTAATAGAAGTAATGTCGGAGATATTGATATCCAGCAAGTTGATCTCTGAGTTTTCAAGTGAGGGACAGTTAAAACGTCTGTGAAGTTGACCCCCTTTTTACAAAATTCGAAACAAATTCATTAGGATTCTGGATGCCCCAGCAAGAGTTCTCTATCGATTTTAGAAAGAGTTTAGAAACAGTTATAGCAAACTTTCAATCTTTTGGACGAAACAATAAGTGATCTTTTCTATACAAATTTTTCGCATAAAAATGACTTACGCGCAATGTCCCAAATTTTTCCAAAACGTCAGAAAATAACACGATCAGAGAATAATCCTTATGAATCGATTCTTGTGAGAGTGGTTTACTTTTGTTAGAGGCACTTTCCGGTCTAAAGGAGAATCGAAGTAATTTCATCTTTCAGTGCTCGGCGGAGCGAGTGTTTTATCGAAGATGACTCGGCTCGTGAGCGAAATCGCCGATCGGGTCGCCGATCGTTACATTGCGAACGGTCAGCTATTCCCAATCACTTGTGAGCTTTATTGGACGACGGCCTGAATTATAAACGAAGATCGAATCCCTCCGGTGCCTGCGACTTCGATGCCGCCACTAGGAGGTTCCTGACCTTCCCGCACTCGTTCGCACGGCAATCGCAAACGGGCTAGCCGCAAGAAACGTCGATCAGTCGAAATCAAAGTTGACACCATCGCACATTGGGCCAGGGCAGGCATAAAACGGGAGGAAGGTCTGAGAATGGATTTTGAGATTTAAGTTCAATCAAGCGATCCTGAATACGCGCGGTAGATAAGAGACATATCTCTATATTTCATATCTATGATAGATATGAAGATAAAATGCAAATATGTAATCCATATATCGCAGTCATATTATGTTACAGTATAATTTAATTAATTGAAATCAATAATACATTCTTTTTGTCCATTTTTAGTTTCATTAATGCAATAATTTTTCCAAATCAGCGTGGTGAAAAAAGAAAATTGCGAAACATTCTTTATAATTCGAGACACAAATTGTTTTTAATCTGCGAGAACATAAAATTATTTAAAGACTAGAGTCCCGAATAATTTGCTATCTCGATTAAAGTATAATTTTGAAAAACCAGCTTTGAATTTGATTTTTTCAGCTTAATTTGCAAAAGCAATCTTTTGCAATTCATTTAGTAATTTTAGTTCCTAATAATTTAATTAGAATTTAATTAAGTAATCGGTGATTAATTGCGAACTCCAGTGAGCAATCGCCTTAATTCAAGATTATTAAGACTGCATTGCAGTCATAAAAATTCTAATATCATCTTTGGAAAAATCTAATTGTATTATATTTTATGTAACGCACAAAAATCAACAGAGTTAATATTCTTTCATTGTTACGCTCACCCTTAACGGAATCCTCTTGACCCTGTCCGCTCGACCTTGTAACCTGCGAGGACACCTTGGCCTGATCGTTGGAGGATGCATGAGTTTTGCCGTCGCTCGAGCTTTGACTTTTTAATTCGACGCAATTCTCCGGGCTGGGTGATCGATCCCTCGATATAGGCGGCGGCGAGGGGGTGCATCCAAGCAGTTTGCGAACCGACAGCTTCAACTCGGGCGTTTTCAGGGGTGGCAGGCTCTCCGCGGTGTCTCGGATGTCCTTGATCTTGGCCGTGACGGAAAGATCTTCCGGTTGCAGTCGACCTTCCGGCGACGGCGGTTCCTCGACGCTTCCGCTCGTCTCGACGACGCTAGCCGCAGCCTCTTGCGCCGCTTCATCTAAACAAGGTTTCGTCTTGTAATCGTTTGTCGCGTGGGACCATCCTGATCGCGAAGCGCTAAGAACGTGACGAAGACGTCGGCGATTAGGTCGATTCGTAAGTGAATTGTAATTTTAGCAGCGATGAGCATTCACAGACTTTCGAACGTAATTTCTGTCGACATAATAATGCGTTACATAAAAGAGTAACTCAAAGAAAGACAAATGTGATTAAAAAATGTGTACGGCATGGTATTCACAATTAATTTTTCTTTAACCACAATAAAACAAAGTGTAGTCCAAGTAATCATCACGCAGTCTGTGGACGTTATTGCACAAGAATACAATTTTACATAACTTCCACTATGAATTTCTTCTTAATGAATCCCATATTACCCGTATATACTCCATCACTAATAAGTTCAAGCACAGACACATACGAATCGACCTGACTCGCATAATAGATTTCTTTTGATCGAGCATATCTTTATGCCGATGTTGATTTATATTGAGATCTATCATTAAGGATAATAGAAAAGTTTGCGCGCACTGGCATCGATCGATTCGATCTCAACCGATCGGTCTCCAACCAATTTGGCACCTAAAGAATGGCATTATCATCGATTCATCGGGAAAGATTATTACACGTACGCCGGTCACCATCGTCCGCGACGCGATCACCGATGAGATGCGCGACACTGAGCGTGATCCTGCCGCCGGCGGCCGCCCTGCAGCCGGCGGCAGCCTCGACGCTCGTCGCAGCCGCCACCGCCACCGCCGCCGCCGCGTTGTCGAAGCTCTTGGAGACGAACTGGGCGAGCTGCTCCATCCTCACGGTTATCGGGGCGACTCTCGCGCGCGACGTCGCGCCTCGGCACCGACGGCACTCGCCGCCGCCGTCGCGAGAGAGAGCCGTCGACGGGAGGCACATCCCGACGTCGGCGTCCCGACGCCACGCGTCCTCCAGGACGCCATTCGGCCGCCGGCCAATCCGCGCGGTGATGGGCGTGATGGAAACGCCCCGTGGTGCTCCTCCACGCTTCTCCCTCCTTCGCGTTTCCGGCGGCACGAGACACGATCCGGGGCTCGCAGACCCCTCGACACCCCTTTCGGGAGGCAGGCACGATCTACCCCCCCAAACCGACGCTCATTAGCATTTGCGCCCGCTTTTCCGCCCGCCGCGGAAACGTTCGCGGCGAAACTACCCCTCGCCGCTGGCGGCCGGGGGTAGGACGCCCGCGCCGCCCGGCGACCATCCTATATCGTCCTCTCCCGCGTCCTCCTCTGTGCCCCGTGTAGTCGACCGCCAGGGCCGCTGTATTTACCTGGAGGCAGAAACAGGCCGTCGCCGCCGCCGCCGTGGGCACGCGGTAATTAATCCCATGCCTTCCGCGGTCGAAGCTCCTTCTTTTTGTCTGGCC